AAACACTTGTTAGAACTAATATTTATCTCACTCACCTCACTCTCGTACAACTCGTCAGTCACGGCACCCCAAATGCCGCACAATTGTAATGATATCGTGTTGAAGAATGCGCCAGAATGTGTTTTTTGGCGCTGTGTGAATAGAAGCTTGTGCACTAAGCTCAAATTTTTAGACTTCACCTCATAGCGCTTGCAGAAGTTAAGCAGCCACGAATAAGACTCTGTTGTTAATCGATCTTCAAATGAAAGATTATCATAGAGCACCTCCAGGCACTTCATTAAAGCGTACAAAGTTCGCTGACGGTAAGCATTTTCATAATCATTCGTGGCGCTGCGCGAATTAGATAGATCATTGCGCTGTTCGTCCTCCATTAATTTGTCAATTACGTCATGCAAAATTTCGAGGGATTGCTTACAATGATTAATAGTATGGAAATCTAATAAAATAAGCAAACATTATTACACTGTGGGGATTCACATTTTTATACCTTTCATGAGCATGAAATGGTATTATGACTTTGGTCCGATGTTTGTAAGTACCAGAACAAAAAGAGATAGACCCATGAAAATGTATACTTATATGATCAGAACGTCGAGCTGAGTTGATTTAGCCATGTCCGTCTGTCCGTCTGTCTGTCTGTTTGTATGCAATCTAGTCTCTCAGTTTTCGAGATATCCGGATCAAATTTGGTAGGTGGGTGTATTTTTATAATGTATTAATCATTTGTCGGAACCGGAAGAATCGGACCACTATAACATATAGCTCCCATACAACTGATTGTTCAGATATGAGATTTTTCATTATAACTTCTCCACTTATGCAGCTACGAACATGAAATTTTGCAATACTTGCACCCATTATCAACAGAATACTTACAGTGAAAATTACAAAGATCGGGTCACTATAACCTATAGCTCCCATACAACTGATTGTTCAGATATAAAATTTTGCGTTATAACTCCTCCATTTATATAGCTAGGAACATGGAATTCCGCACTGTTTTCAATAATCATCAACAGAAAACTTACAGTGAAAATTAAAAAGATCGGGTAACTATAACCTATAGCTCCCATACAACTGATTGTTCAGATATGAGATTTTTCGTTATAATTCATCCATTTATGTAGCTAGGACCATGAAATTTCGCGCTGTTTTCACTCATTATCAACAGAAGTCTTACAGCGAAAATAACAAGGATCGGATGACTACAACATATATCTTCCATACATCTGATTGTTCAGATATGGGATTTTATTGTAAAACTCCTTTATTTGAACAGCTAAAACCGATAAATTTTGTAAGATATTTTATAAATAATAATACAAAGTCTACTGAGAAAATCGTCAAAATCTATGCTGTATAAGCTTTATCTCCTATAGCACTGATTGTTAAGATACCAGTTTTTGCCATATATCTCCTTTATGTACGAAACTAAACCCAATAAATTGTATTACCGGTTTACATACCGATCACATAGCGGTGAAAATCACTTAGATTGGTGTCATATAAAGTATACCTTCCATACCTCTGATTGTTTAGATGCGATTTTTTATATAAGTATGTAACTCCTCTATCGATGTATGCAGATGTATTCAAAAGCAGTAATCTGTCAAAGTACAATTTGCAGATGTTCATGAAAGGTATGAAGCCTTCGGCATAGCCGAAGACAGCGCTGCTCTTACTTGTTTTTATATTCAGTTTATAACAATAAAATAGGGTGCATTGCAATAGGCCAAAATACAAAGCAACAGTCCCTTTAACGTTAAATCTGACAGTTAGATGCTAGTTTTCAACTAGGCTGCGCAAGTTAGACTTTTGCTTCTAGTGCGGTTTAGAAATAACAGAGACGGATTTTGACAAAGGCATCCAGTCCCGGACCATTTTATGAATCCCGGGATTTCGGGATCTTAAACTGGTAGTCCCGGGATGCCGTGATGTTTCGGGATATTATTACCAGTAATTAAAATATGCTAACTAGTTTTGAGGTTTGCTTTAGTGCGAATACTACATAGAAATAAAAATAAATAAATTTTTAAGCAAAGAAATATAAATGTCTTTATTTTATATCAGTTTAAAAAGCTAAACAAACTGAATAAACCAGAGACATAACTACTATAAGAGAAAAGAATAAAAGTTGAGCAATAATTATTATAATAAGATACCAGTTTTTCGAGTCATCTATAATTATTCTTCAATGACTTATAAGTCTTTTCATAAGAATTATGGTTGAGATAAATATTTTTAAGTCTTCATAGACGTTTATTTTGAGACTTATATTATAAAAGTCTTTCATAATAATTATGAGTACGAAAATATTTTTTAAGTCTTCAAAGACTTTTATTTTGGGACTTATATTATGAAAGTCTTTTCATAATAATTATGAGTACGAAAATATTTTTTAAGTCTTAAAGGTTGGGGACCAGTTCGGGGTAGTTTGGAGCAGGGTTGTTGCGAATATTCTCATTCGCATTCGCAACCACGGAGCTTCCGCATTAATTTTAACATTCGCAATAATCAATGCGGAGCTTTTGAGAATGCGAATGTTGTGCAAGTGCACCGATAAAACGTTTATATGGCAAAAAAATGACACATTGTAGTCAATATTTTTGCCTGTGGTCGTGGAAGTATTTGTGTAACAAAACTGGTCAAATGTCATATTTATCAACTTTGATAAAAATGTCTTTAAACATATTATTTCTTAAGCTATATAACCGAGCTATCAATGGGCAGTCATACAAGTTCCAACTTCTACTTTACCTTTGACGTACGTCAAAGAGAACATAGTCTTTTTGACAATATTTTTTGGTTTTCTCTTCTTTAAATGCCTGCATTGGTTTATTTCTATTTTATACATTTTTTTTGGACCAATCGTAAAAAAACTGCTGTTTAGACACAAAAGAAGAAAGTGCGCACTGTAATTCTTAACCAAATTTTCGGGATATGCTTTTGATGCTACATATATTTGTTTCAATAATTCAAATGGGGCTCTTTGGGGAATTTTTTTCAGCAAAAATTTAAAGCACAGTAATTTTGTTTACTTGTCGGGCAATATTTTTTTCGTTATATGCATTGGATCCTTGGCTAAAAACTTTTGTGGTAAAAGTGTTCCTTCTTTGCTATTTAAAGTCAAAGAGTAAGCTCCTTCAATTGGGATTTCCAGCAGAAATGATCAACGTCTGGCTATAAAAAAAATCGAAGCTCAAATAATTAAAAAATTATAGGTCTGACCTT